CAGCCAACTAAGCAGAGTCTTGCCCAACTGCTCACCACCACCAGGCCCAGACCAGGCACAGCCAGCAGGGCTCCAGGGTTCCCTTACTCTCTAGGTGCCGTCCCTTCTTTCCCTCTCTGTCGTCTCCACACCCCATCCTTTTCTGCTTTTTGCAGTCTTTGCCTCTTTGGTGGGCTTGTTTTTCAGCCTGTTTGCCCAGCGCACAGACTGGGAGTCAGACCCGAGTTTGAACCCTGGTTTTCCCACCTATTACCTGGTGACCTTGAGTAATGTGATTAACCCTGGGTCTCCTGGTGTTAATTGTGCTGCCTCACAAAGAGAATGACTCTAGGTGCCCAGTGTGGGAGCTGTCACACAGCGTTAGCGCTTTCTTTTCTGCCCCCTGTCCACCCGCCCCCCTTTTCCTGAAACGTCTTTCTCACCCTCCTGAGGCTGCCTTCTTTCCAAGCATCTTATCTTGTGCCTCCTCCTTTTGTTCCTCCCTCTCAGCGGCTCCTCTCCCCTTCCAGATCTCTTCTTCTGAGTGCTTATCGCATCTGCCAGGGCTGCAGAGCTCATAAGCCTGTTCCTCAGAGGCCTCCATGAACTCTGTCAGAGGCAGTGACTTTGGCATTGAAATTGGCACATAAAGCCCCTTTGCAGCCTGTCATTTTGAGACTCACTGGTGCTCCAGAGCATTCTGCACACCACACCATCTCCCTCACCCCCAAAGGAAGGCAGATTCTGCCTTCAGAAACTGGACAGTGGATGAGGCTGAGCCCAGCAGGGTCTGGATTCAGACCCTGGCCATCTCTCAGCATAAACAAGAGGGTCTTCTCAGCTGGGAGGGTCAGTTTTCAGGGTGTGGGCTTTTTTTTTTTTTTTAATGTTTTAACATTTATTCATTTTTGAGAGACAGAGCATGAGTGGAGGAGGGGCAAAGAGAGAGGGAGACACAGAATCTGAAGGAGGCTCCAGGCTCCAAGCTGCAGCACAGAGCCCGATGTGGGGCTCAAACTCATGGACCGTGAAATCATGACCTGAGCTGAAGTCAGATGCTCAACCAACTGAGCCACCCAAGCATGCCTGGGCTTTTCCCTTACCCCAACCAGACACTCCAGACACTGATGCTTTAAAACAAACAAAAAAACAAAACCTAGGGGCCTCTTAAACAGCACTCTGTCCTTGTCTCCAGCCCTTGAGGTTCACAGCGTACTGGCATATTAAAGACTTTAAAAAAGAATCTGTGGTGAAGACACCTATTAAATTTTATGTAACACACATTTTCATACTGACCCCACCTGGGTACCTGCCCTCCCTTTTTGGTGGTGGGGGTGGGGGTTGTTTGTTTGAGGAAATCGTCTGGGGTTCTGGGATAGTGTGTGGGTGTTTATCTGAGTGAGGGTTTGATGGGCCACACCTTTCGGAGTCACTGTGGAGTTTATTTAAAAAGTGCAGTGACGGGGCGCCTGGGTGGCGCAGTCGGTTAAGCGTCCGACTTCAGCCAGGTCACGATCTCGCGGTCCGGGAGTTCGAGCCCCGCGTCAGGCTCTGGGCTGATGGCTCAGAGCCTGGAGCCTGTTTCTGATTCTGTGTCTCCCTCTCTCTGCCCCTCCCCCGTTCATGCTCTGTCTCTCTCTGTCCCAAAAATAAATAAACGTTCAAAAAAAAAAGAAAATTAAAAAAAAAAAAAAGTGCAGTGACTGCCTTTTTTAAAACATTTGTTTATGGGGCGCCTGGGTGGCGCAGTCGGTTAAGCGTCCGACTTCAGCCAGGTCACGATCTCGCGGTCCGGGAGTTCGAGCCCCGCGTCAGGCTCTGGGCTGATGGCTCAGAGCCTGGAGCCTGTTTCCGATTCTGTGTCTCCCTCTCTCTCTGCCCCTCCCCCGTTCATGCTCTGTGTCTCTCTCTGTCCCAAAAATAAATAAACGTTGAAAAAAAAATTAAAAAAAAAAACATTTGTTTATTTTGAGAGAGAGCGCGCATGCGTATGCAAGCAGAGGGGAGGGGCAGAGAGAGGGAGAGAGAGAGAATCCCAAGCAGGCTCTGCACTGTCACCTCAGGGCAGAGCCTGACAAGGGGCTCGAACTCATGAACCGTGAGATCAGGACCTGAGTGGAAATCAAGAGTCAGCTGCTCAACCGACTGAGCCACCCAGGTGCCCCGCCCCCAGAGACTGCCTTTGTGCACTTCATGGAGGCCCATTTGACTAGGGCACTGGCTGGAAAGGAAGAGAGGGAATTTTCCCAGAGTGGTGGGGATGCAGCTAGAGGTCAGAAGCTCTTCCTGCCTGTGCCCATCTCAGATTCTGAGCCAGATCATGGCTGTCCCTGAACCCTGGTCGTTTTGAACTACTATATCTGGGTGTTTCCCCTACAAAATCTGATCCCTTTCCCTTCCATTATGTTCCCATGTTGTCCATTAATCTCACCCCCACATAATCTCTCTCCCAGCTGTTCTTCCTGGTTAGCCTCTCTCCTTGGGATTCTTAGAAGAGGCTGACGGGGAAAGCTGCCATTCTCTTTATCCTTTTCAGTAGCTTGAGAACATGCATGTTGAATTTGAAGGCGGTTGGAAAACTCCATGGCTTACCCATGTATGAAACCTTCCTTGGCTCCGCCCAGGCACATCTGCCCGGTCTGCTAAGCCCTTTCCCACCTGTACTGTTTATAGAGCAGAGTATCCATCAGGGTCCCCGAGGCAGGGCTGTTAACTGTCAGCAGGCTGACCAGGTGGCTGGCTGCTAGATTCTCTTCTTTGGAGAAAGCTGTCTTCTCATGTGTATTGCTTTTTGGTTTCTTCAGATTTTCTTCTTCTGCTTCAATTTTTTGAAGCATATCATCTCTGAGGAGTTCTCTGCTCTGAAGACACAGAGGTGAGGAGAAGGCTTTTCTCTCACTCTGGGCAGGGCGCTCTGGGAAGGACCATTCTGGGAAGGGTAGGCAGGGTCTCACTCACTGTCTTAGCCTTGCCTGGCTTCCCTGCCTGCTTGGCAAGCTGACCTCTGAGGCCAGGGTAGGGATCCCTAGTGACATCTAGTCAGGGAAGAGGCTCTTCTGCCTGTGAGGCAGGGCTGGGGTCTGCCTGCAGTTATACTAGCAGAAGGGCTTTCGGACCAAGGAGTGGTCTCTGGTGACTAAGGGCACACTGCTGCAGGGAAAAGCCAGACGAAGCACAGGAGGACTCCCGACACCCCAGTCTCTGGCTGAGGCAAATTCTTCCGCCTGCCCTTCCCTGGGCTGCTGCAGCGGTGTGTCTGCGTCGCTGTGCAGCCCACCATCGTGGAAAAATCTGCCTCCAGCCTGGGAAGCACAGGAGTCTTGTCTGGCAGTTGCCTTACGACCTCTGTGAGAGTTGGTATCTTTTCTGAATTCACTTGCCTTCCAAATCCAAGCTCCTAGGTGTGTTGGACCAGATTGAACTCTGGGGGGACAAGGTGAAAGGAAGGAGTCAGACTTTGCTGGCCTCTCAGAAGTGGCCTGATGTTTTGCAACACTCTAGGTAGGACATGTCTCATTGAGTTGTCAGTGAGTTGGAGCTTCTTTCCCGGGCAAGCTGCATGCCGGGCATGGGGATGACAAAAGAGCCCCCGGCCCCGAATGTAATTCACTATTCTGGTTTCTGTTTACAGGAGGAAGAGTTTACCAGCCCGGGACGCAGGCTTCACTCTGGAAGATATCTGTATGCTGAGTGAGTTACAGGCCCCAGCAGGTTTCCCTTCCTCTGTGCATATTTCTTAGTATAGACCACACAGGAACTGTTTGTTCTAGAAACTTCTCTTTCCAGCTGTATGGTATGGAAGAAGTGGGGGACCAGTAGTGTGAGAAGATAATGTGCTGACTGATGGCACTTGCTTCTTTCAGGACGAAAGGACCGTGGCAGCACCACCAGCCTTGGCAGTGACTTCTCTCTGGTCATGGAGAGCTCCCCAGGAGCCGCCGGGAGTTTCACCTATGAGGCCGTGGAGCTGGTCCCTGCAGGAGCACAGACTCAGGCAGCTTGGTGAGGGGCCAGGCTGGAACTAAGCTTGCTCACAGCTGTGGCCCAGGGCCACCAGCTCCAGGGAGCCCCAAGAACAAAAGGGACCCCCGACAGTAGGGCTGAGAGCACAGCTCCCTGTCCTGCTGTCTCTCCTGGACCTCAGAGGCCAGCCATCTGGTTGGTGAGGGGCACGGTCCGTGGTGGCCCAGGAACATAAAGGACTGGGGCTCTCTGTGAGATGAAGAAAGAAGCTGCCGGGCTGGGCAGACAGGGTGGGGTGAGGGGAGGCTGGTGTTAAGAAGACTCCCTGGAGGAGCTCCCTTGTATCATTTGCCTGGGAGGTTGCGGGGGGGGGGGGGGGGGCCAGGGCGGGAAAGAAG